CAGCAAGCAAGCGTGTTGAGAAGAACAGCGAATGCTTTCCAGATACATGCTTGTCTTGATTCCCACGAAGTATAGAGCGTAAGAAACTCGACATACTCTACTTACTTGTGACCGAGTGTATTTGGAGTTTGGTGGAGGGGAACCATTTTTTCCCTAAGTCCCACGAAATATAAAGCGTAAGAAGCTCGACATACTCTGCTTGTGACCGAATGTATTTGAAGTTTGACCATTTCTTTCCCTAGTATTGGTATATTATATTGCAAGAGTTCGTTGAGTTCCAGCCACTTTTTTCCAGCGACTGATAAGCGACTGAGGTGGCTTATTGCGTTTTTTGTGATGGAAAAGATTCCTAATGAAAGAAAACAACACCACCTGAAAAAGAACAACTGAGCTTCCCTTGTCTTTTCTAAGTTTGAAGATATGAAGTTGTCCTAAGTTCCCTTGAAGCATGAAGATGCATGGAGGTTCCTTCCCATGTCTTATAAAGAGCCAGGCTTTGTCTTTTTATGGTTAGATGGGCAACACCTCTGTTTAGTGGTGTTGCTAGGAAGCCAAGCATACCACTGGCATGTTTGTTTTCACTGAAGGGGTTGTCCTTACCCTGTATGGTATAAAGAGAAGAGAAGCTATGTCTATTCAAACTGCACATCTTCAGTAGTTCGACAAACTCAGAATCGAGAACCAGAATTTGGTTTCGGTTTCGGCTTGTTTAATACTTATGATATCAAGGAATAAAAAGTCAGGTAGACATGTACATGCGGCAGCAGAACCAGAATCCAGAACCAGAATCTGGTTTCGGTTTTGGCTTGTTTGTATATGGTACAAAAGGCGAAAAGCAGCATCTGCACATGTACATGAACTGCAGAAAACACCGTATATACCGATGGATTCTAACTTTAGCAATACGCATCTTGTACCAGAAGACAGTACAGGAGTAGTTGAGGAGAAGGCTGGGGTGGATCATGGGGGGGGGTGTGTGTGACCATATATATATATATACATACAACACACACTACTGTAATATATATATATATATATATATATATACACATGCAGGAATATATATATATATATATGTACATATATATACATATATATATGCGTATATATATACATATATACATATATATATATATGCTGTCACATGTTCAAAGAATATCAAGTTACATGCTTTACTGACTCAACTCTGTATGGTGGCATCAGCTGTCCATGTAAGGATCCACTTATGAAAGCTAGCTAGTACTTAGTATAGTATAGTAGTTTCTAGCGGTCGATGGCAGCCTAGTCTACTTGTGCACTCAACCACTAAATCTTCGGACCGGTCTCCTTCTTTTGCAGTGTATATCGGTAGTACATCCACTCCTCAAGACTGTCTCTGCATTGTTATCACATCTGTCATGTTATGACGTACATGTTCTAAGTTAGTATATTGCTCAGGGCCGTATATATATATATATATATATATATATTAACCAATATAATATAATAGTATTGGAGTGTCAATACACATACAAGGCAACTGGAAAGCTGAAACATGGACACCTCGAGGCGTCTCCGCACAACTTCCTTCAGCTGCTGGGTTCGCCAGTGGCTTTTCCTGGCGTCCCAGGCAAGAGGAGTTTTACATACAGAGAGCGAGAGAGCACGGTACAGCTGTACAAAGCAATAGAATCATATACTTAATATAAATATATGTAACGCGAATATATGCATATATAGTACTTAAAACAAAAAAATACATATCATATTTTATGCAAAATTAACTGGCATATATATATATATGTATATACATATATTAAATGAACACAGTGTGAATTAGTAGTGTATGCTCTGTACTTGTGTCTACATTGTGAGGTCATGCGCAGGTACATTCAGTCATAACATACCTGCCTCACGCCACGATTTCTTTGGAACCTTTCCATTACATAGCTACTCATCGCGAGGTGAAGTCCTGCCTCCTTTCTTGCCCATGCCTGCAACACATGTTCCTAATTTGATATGCACATGTTTCCATCAATCGATCAATGTTCTGGGCTACAGTTGTATGCATCCGAATGCAGTCCTGGTCTTGTGCGAGTGTCTGACACAAGGGTGCCTCATGTTCCCAGGATTCCTTGAACTGGGGGTTCGGGTTGTAGACGGTGCTGACGAACTCGAGCGCTTCCTCTCAACCGACGAGCGTGGGATCGAACAATCCGAGGCGTGAGGCAGCTATGTTATCCCGATCATGAATGCTCGACTCCCATCTGCGTGTGGGATTGAACAATCCGAGGGCCCCTGAAGCACATAAAACTATCACATTGATATCTCGATCACCTACAAAAAGATGTCCTGCACTTCCTTCGGTTGAGGTGAGCTTGTCGCAAAGCAGGCTAGGAAGTTCAGTGTGAACTCGAAGTTAGTCTTGTCTTCCACCTCAGATGTTTCAATGACTGCCATAGTACTGCACTAAAGTTGGATATCTTTCGAGACGACCTGACCGTTGCAGCATGGAACATTGCCACACAGATCCTGCAACCCAGCGACCTCCAGAGCTCCGATCTTGTTCGTCGGCAGGTTCAAGAACGAGAACTTGGGTACCTCTGCCGAGCACCGGCCCAGGTGCAGTCACAGAGGGAAGGCGGGAAATGCATTGTTGATCCTATCCGAAGGTCTCTAGTCGTGTACTCCTCAACATGAGACAGGTATTGGATCTTTGGATCAAACATGGATCGACCTGTAGAACTAGGTGCGCGACCCCAATCAAGACTTTGCGACCCTGAAACAGCAACCCTGGCCACACCATCAACCCCGAGAAGCCTCATGAACATTATTCAACCATAGCTCCTCTTAGACAGCTTTACAAAACAAAAACCTCGGAACCTGCATGAAGCTTCCAAGCCCAAGACAAGCTTTCAAGACACCCAGCCCATTAGGTTCAGGCTTGTGCGTTTAGGGTTTGGTCAGCAAGGCGCTGCTGGCATTAATTAGGTCATTATGGCTTCACAATTCGATTTAGTACCATGTGTATACCACACATATATATATATATACACACATAATTACACAATGTATATATATATATATATATATATTTATATATGTGGACCAATCTAGAAAAACATTATTGTTAAGGATCAGTACATATAATACGTATACCTATAAACAGATGTGTATATACAGTATCTGTATCTATATATATATATATATATATATATATATATATATACGTACACAATATATCTATATATACATAGACACAATGGGTTATGGTTTTATGACATATATATATATAGAGTATATTGCATATGGTTTATAGAGATATATACAGGTAGTACATTATTAGGGGTAGAAGGTCAATGGTTAAATTTTTGGAGGGTGAGGGCGAAAGCAGTCTCAGGGTGGGGTCAGGTTATGGCAGGGTTTAAGGTAGGTCTTGGAGTAGGCCCGGGTTTTGACAAGGCCCAGAATAAGTTCAAGGATCCGAACTACTTCACCCCATATCTAAATCCACACGGGGGTTTCAGGAACCTCGACAAGCAATTGACCGTTGTACACTGTCACTGCATGGCCACTGTTTTATTGACTGCTTAGTTTGGGAATGCCCCGACTATGTAGACCAGTGGCCCGTTGATCCTGATCGTCCAACCCCAGCCGATGCCGTTGCTGCCGGCGCCGGCGATGCCCATAACTTGCATCAGCTGTCATCTACGAGTAGAAGTCCTTCACACGATCTAAGCAGAGCAAGCATCTCTAGCTGGAGAGCAGTACCATCATAAGTCACAGTCATCATCATCGATTCGTCATGATCTTCTGAATCTGCTCGCATCGATCGACTCTTTAGCTAGGGTCAGAGTCAAACTCAGCTGAGAGAACCTGTACCATTCGGGATCCCACTCAGTTCGAACCTAACTAATCCCTGCATGAATGCTGCTGATGTAGATTTTGTGGACCCCTGCTGTTGATCTCGTTTTCCCCAAAGGCGCAAGGAAGCTCACGAAGCTTGGTCCTTCAGCTGCAGGCGCGCATCGTCCATCGGAACTTTGGGCATGCTCGCAAAGCTGGTGCAGTGAGCAAAAAAGAGCGAGTGGTTTCCCGTGACCCCGCCGGCCTGTTCACGTGCTTCTACTCGCACTATCTTGCACTTGTAAGTGAGTCTAGACACATCGGATCTTACAGTCACATACGATATGGGCAAAGACTAGCATATTTCAGTATGAGCTCGGAAGGTCATGTTGATTTAAGAAGAAATAGCCCCGGGGTGCAGGAATCTAAATGTATGCATGACCTCATGCAAAACGCAAGGATCCAGCAGCCTGTGCAAACATCGGCCGTGCCTGTATGGGAGTCGAAGACTGGGATAATGTCATACTTTTCCAAACCATCTCAGATATCGTGATTTCATTAGATCGGTCGAGTCTTCAGGACAAACAATGGACACGGCAGAGGGGCACCAGCAAACAACGAAAATGCCGAGATATGCACGCTCGCTCAGGGCGCGCTTCATGCGCAGTGTTGCTGCTTGCCACCTGGGCACACGCAGGAAACATCAGAGTGTGCTTGTCCCACATATTTCAGATCATGCTTTGATCAAGTGATTGATCCAGAGGATTCTAGACATGTCATCCGGATCCCCTTTTGGGAACAATGATTGCGGCCGGAAAATTCTCATCGTGGACCAGAACTGCCACGGCTCCGCCAAGCCAACAACGGCTCCATTGCACAGCACTTCGAACATGGCAGAAAGGCTTATGCTGCTCCACGACTGCTCTGTGTGTGCATTGCTGCGAACCCCGCTAATCCATGCCATAGAACTTGCTTGAAAAATTTAGCAGTGGCTCCTCTGACTTCACGGGTTGTGCCTGCTCAACTTGCCTCCATCCGAATGTATCTGGGATCAATAGCCGTTGTGTGCTTGATCGTTCTTGTTGTAGGTCGCCTTCAACTCTTCGGGGAAGTTCCTGCGTTTGCAGCGGTGGTCCAAGGCAACTGTTCGTGAGTAGTGCTCTTTTTGATCTGCAATGGCTAAACGCCAGGATGGAAGAGCCGTAGGACGTGTTTTCTTCAGGAATGGAGTGCGCCGCAAGGTTGTGAAGCGTGGGGATGGGCGCTTGGTAGCCATGCCCTCCGCCAGTACGACACGAGGGAGGCGGATCAGCGGTAAGACAGTGCACCATTTCGTGCACTACCGCAGTATCCCCTCCAGTGTTCTGGAAAACGTTCGTGCCTGGCGGAGGGCTGGCTTCCAGCAGGTCATTTGGAGCTTCAACAAATTCCCCTGCATGAAGGGGGTGCGTGTGAGAAATGCAGCCCGTGCTATGTCCCGACACCGCTTCACAGCCTTGCGGCGCAGAGGAGTCGGCCTCGCGCTCATCAAGGACGAGGTGTCCCTTTATGCCTTGCGAGAAGAGGGGGGTTGGTGGGCCGACATGGACGTGTGGCCACTGAAGCATGCGCCGGACTGGGAGCGCTACTGCGAAGGCAAGCCCACCGTCCTGTCGACCCACCCCCTGCGACAAGCTGGCTTACCGATGAGCCCTGCAGAGGCGGACTGGGAGCGGAACGGCCAAAGGCGGGGAACGACCAAACATGTTCATTAGGGTTTTTTCTCTGGATGCCGCAGCCCTCAATCTTGTGCGTTTTGTTGTTTCGTGAAGCGTGCTGATGCTATAGCGGTGTTATGCCTACTATGCACAACTACTTCCCTATTATACGAATACTTCAGCAATGCTCCCAACCTGACCACCCTGCTAGGGGCCGCTTCTCCCTGGCGTTGATGTACGTGGACGCGACGATGGAAAAGGGGCACCAGTTCGCGAGCTTGGCCTACAGCGCTGTGAAAGCTTGCAACACGGCCTATAAGCCGCCGAGGCAGCCCACAGACGCGTGCGGAAAGTGGAAAGGCTGGCAAGCCAACACGGCTGCCGTGTTGCAGCAAGCCCGCGAACTGGAGTTGCCCCTGGTCGCACCCATCCACTTTTGCCCGACGGGGAATTTTTTTAGAGCCAGTCCGGATGCACGGAAGCCCCGGCTGGTTGCGGGTTGTTCCATACCGTCGTGGCAGCGCATCAACGCCGAATCATTTTCCTTGAATTTGTGGTCGGACCGGTGGTCCTCCACTTTGCAAGACGCGGTACGAGCAAGCGCCAACTTGATCTGAAAAAACGTCTTGGCACGAGCTTTTCGTGGAGGTCCATTTGGAAGTTCTGCGCAAGCCACTCCTAAACCCTAAACCTTTGAACCTTGAGCCCCGCATCCCGAATCCCGACCATCGTCACCCTCCAGACCTGCGCCCCCGACTCCGAATCTTGAGGTTCCAAGCCCTGAAAGTAGAACCAAAATCACGCAAACGTTTGGTGCGAGCGGAAGAAGCGAAGGCAGCTGCGGCAGGCGAGGAACATCTGCAAGATTGTTTACAAACACGAACCCGGAGAGTGTCAAAATAGTAAGATGACGAAGGGTACTGCAGAAGATGTGTGAAGACAGTACGTCAGGGGGATGTCCAATTGGGCACGTACCATCAACGACTACCCTATCGCTTGTTTATTCAGAAGCGCGAACAAACTCTAGCGAGCTGCCCTTCGCAGTAGCCATTGAAAGCTTGCCTTCACTTGGGAAGCCTTTGCCCGAGTCTTCTCACTCTCGAAGTGTCCCGGTTCAACGCGGCCATGGACCCCACAACAGCTCGCGATACAACAGCATGCCAAGAAACTTCTAGCGATAGAAATGACTGTGCCGCTTGAACTCATTGAAGCCAGCAAATCAACATGTGCCTAACAGAAGTATCTTCTTTTGCTGTTTCTTCCCATGCTGTTCGTTTTGGCTCACGTCTGCGTAGCACGCTAAGCTCTACATGTTAAACTGTTAAACCCCAAAATCTTACCAGATCCTGAAGCTCTGAAATCGATTCCTGAGCCCGAAGCCCGGCACGCACCTTGGTGGGTCACATCGCAGACTGCAAAGAGGCCACTGACCAACTGGCACACCGCGCGCCTGGGGCTCACATGTCGCGGCGTGTCCAATCACCCAGAAAAGTCATAGTTGCATACCTGGGCAGAACATAACTTCATGTTCACAAACCATCTGTGAATTTTCGCATGTTCTTGATTTGGCTATTGCTACGTATCATGTTGTTCAGTAATACTGCTTTTTCTAACCATTGCCAGAATCGTCGTTGTAGTTACTGCCACTACACATCATGGCTTGTATTTTTCTGTATCGTTTCCTGATTGCCATGGTGCAGCTTGTGCGCCCCGGCAGCCTTCCCGCTCAGCCCGGTCTAGGGTTGAGGGCTTAGGTTCAAGCTTGAAGGTTTGAGGTTGAGAGCTCAGTTTTATGGCTGATGGTTGGGGGCCGACGGAATAGTCTAGGGTCCAAGGATTACAATTCGTGGTAGAGAGCCTCGGCTTGGTCGTTGAGGGTTGCGGGTTTAGGGTTCAGTGTTCGACGTTGACGGGTTAGGGTTGAGGGTTGGTTTGGGGTTGCAGGATTAGGCGAGAAACAGAATTTGAGTGGCTTCATTCCGCGACAGCATAGTTTCTGAAGTTGAATGCACGAGACCGGGATCTTTGACACAGGCCGTTCCTAGCACTGAATCTGTCGAAGGAATTGCGGGCCTCCACTGGCTAGGTCCACAGCATCGCGCCGCAGAGTGCATAACAATCTTGTGGGGTTTCGCCTACAAATTGCTTGTTGATTTCATTCTCAATTTTTACCCTCGCCTCGCTGAAATATCACTACTGGGCCAAACATTGATAAAACAGCAGCACGGCATCTCTGTGTCGCTACATTATCACCATGGCTTGAACTTCCTGCTGAACTTCGGCACTGGTCATGGGGTGTACGTGCGACCATTTAACGTACTGCAGGCGTTGTCTATGCTTGATACGTGCAAACATCCGGCTGCATCAGATCCTGGCCTGGAGCAAGGTACCGGCCGAACTCACTAACGCTGCCAGCCTTGCAAAAACAGTCTCGCGAACACCTTCCTTAAGCGGTGTGCATTCTTCTTCTTGTGTCTCAACCCTTCCGGAGTCAAAGCCTGGCAGGTTTTAATGTAATCGCGCCAGCTGTCAATTAGATGCTGTCGGCTGTTTTGTCTGGTCTGCATCTATTTTTTCCGCTCTGCTTCTGCTGTTGCAGTCCTTTTTCGTCGGACAAAGGGCTCTGGAGGAAGGCTTTGGCTTAATGTTCAGGGAATCGGTGATTCAGAGGCTCGAAACTCGAAACAAGATACTCGAAGCTCCGCTCCGGACTGGGCGAGTTGAGCACTCTCTACCCTCCACGCCCTAAACACCCTGGCTGTCCCTTCCGAGTGCCACGGCTTTGAAGCCTTTTGCTTTTCACGTCCCACATGTTATCTTCCTTCTATAATATCCGTGCTTCAGAGTTATCTTCTCATGGCAGGTGTCTGGGCAAGGCTACTGGGTGAAATTGGGCATCTTCCGTCCAGGGTTCGGGACTTTGGGCGGTGCCCTGTCTGATGGTTTTCGGGTCTAAGCATGTTCACACAGTGCCGCAGACTTAGAGCATGAATTTGTGCAAGAGCCAGACTTCCGGAATTGAGAAACCGTTCCGCAACAAATGAAACAGGTTGAACTCTGCCGAAGTGGAGCCGGCTTAGAACCTAGAGTTGCCTCAGTTTGGTGAGTGGCAAAGCCAGTGGCCCCACTGTCAGGATGAACGGTATATATGCTCCGAACTCTAGAATGATTCACAAGACCTACTGCATACAACCCAGCAACTAGCCTAAAGCCCTAGAACCCCACTGCCTTGTGCCCGAAATTCATCGCCACACTGTTGTCAGGTACAGGCAAGGTGATACCTACCCAGGCGAGCACCCCAAGTTACCAGATCATTGAAGTGAGTTTTGCCGTGAGTGATGGCGGTAGATCTGAGGACAGGGGCAGTTTGCTGTTTCTGTTGACAGACGCTGGTGCAGGCCATGGGTGAGCATGTGCTCTTCGTGCAGTGGGGCACGTGGCGAGAGCTTGGCATGGCAGCTCAGAGCGGAGCTGCGCAGCGCTGGAAGGCACAAGGTCTCGGCAGCATTTCAAACACAGCCCATTGGCCATTGCAAGCGATTTGATCAAGTTTTGCAAGATGATCATACAGCTTCATCCAGTCATTGAGTGCAAACGTGAAGATTTCGCTTCATCCAGAAAGCAGTGCGGAACAAGTCGAACCAAAGTCTGTGTCGTATGCTCCGGCTAATGCGAGGCGAGCCTCGAGGAAACGGTTGTGGTCGTCCACCTTGCGTATGTTCCACCCCGTATCACCCCGTCAACCACTGTCCGTTTGCATTCTACCCCACTGCGTGTTGCATGCTTGATTTTTGCGTGGCGCACTTCTGAACATTGTTGATGTTGTGTCGGACTCTAGGCCGGTGCATCGAATTGTGACATGCCACCAGATACATGGACAAAAGTGCAAGGCGCTCTGAAAGCTGATACGCTTTTTGGAGCTGACCTTGTGGCTGTGTTCTCAGCTGAGGTCGGCATGGCGATCCTTTCAGGATCCCTGCACGCAAGCATCATCGCAGCTTGTCCGGTTTACTGGACGCAGTACCTAAAGCAGCCACCCGGCAGAGACTCATTCAAAGACTTCGGGAACACCGTTCAGCGAAGATGACAAGTCTGTCGAAGGATTTGCGTATGGGTTTCGCAGGTTGTTGTTAGGTCTTAGGTGTATTGCCCGTATTGCTGACAAACCTCATGGCCTTATCGCAAGACACAGGTTTGGGCAACCGTGCCACCGTTCCTGGGCTTGCAAACCAGTCTCGATGCCACATGTTGAAAGAAGCAATCGAGACTGCTGCTGACAGCAGGCTTCCAAGAAGCCAGCCATGGAAGTACCGGTCTGAATTCTGAATGAGATGGGGCTTCGGGCGACCACCAACACCATAACCGTGGAACAGGCAGGGCTGAGAACTGAGTGCGCATTCAACGTAGGTAGGTATTTTCCCTCGCTGCCGTGTCTAAGGTGGAGTCCCTGGTGCTTGAGGTTGCGAGGGATGTTGCGGGCGCTGTTGGAGTACAGGACGCCATAACTTGCAATGTGTGCATTGCTTGCTACGTGACTTGCAGGCATAGGAGCCGCTGATGGAGGATGGAATGGATTCGCTTGCGGCCCCTTAGACAAGTACGAGGATTTGGAACATCTCGTTTGGTGGGAAAAGGTCGGTGATCGTCCAGGGTGATCTGTGCGTACTCGACCGAGGCTGTTGAATTCCGGAATCGTTTGTCCAAGTCAAGTTGCCAAACACGTAGATCTTTGACTACCCCACGGTCGCTGCGATTAGTGATTTTGCTGTCGCCCAACTGGGTCCTCCAGCAGATGCAGTGCTGGAGACTGCCGGAAGGTCGTTGCACTCTGGTTCGTCTGCCTCAGTTCAAGGAGCGGCAGCCACTTTGCCGGGTCGCCGTGACGATGGCTGCACAAGAAAGATTCCGTCATTGAGGTCCCATTTGCTCGTTCGGAGCATGACGTTTACTACAGCTCAGACACAGAAGTTGCTGGAAAGACGTATGCCTGCCATGGTGGCTTCATCGAAGGTACCTTGATATGTTGAAGAAGCTGCTTTGCAGTTTTTGCCCGTACCGTCAGCACTTAGGACCATGAGATCAGACGATTCAATTTCTCACTTCAAGCGTGCGGCATGCTAATGTCAATGTAGTACTGTATGGCATCCATGCATCATACTAGGGCAGACGGAAACCCAGATTCCACAAGATGTCGGACTTGCCAAGGTGCTGAGCTGTTCGATCCCTCTGTTTTCGCGAGCAGCTCATGGATTCCTGCATTGGGGTCTTCGTGGGTCAATGCCAATATGACTGGGGTGACAAACAATGTGAGACTTGTGTTGTTTTGCTGTGAGGTGAAATCGCATTGTGTAAGCAGGGAGGCCTCTCCGACCTGCAGTTGGCCGTTGAGCATCGCAGTTTCATTCAGAAGCTTCATGATAGGTTAAGAACTGAGCACGGAGGGTCTCCGTCTCTGCAGTTTCCCAGAAGTGGCGACTGAGTGATCGGGCCAAGTGGAAGAGGGAGCAGCATGGGTTCACATGATATGTCAGAAAGTCATCACTCGAACGAAGACTACTCCGGTACTTCGGACTAGCGGGGGCGGGGGGAAACGGCTCAGAGCTATCAAAGGCCCCTG